AACTTTTGTTCTAAAACACTGGAGAAATTTAGTTTAGGTATTCTGACCTGAAAAACTCTCGCTGCGGTCCCCCCATATCATCTGCGTCTTCTCCTACAAACTCAATAAGTGGTGAGTGGGTCCAACAGAAAGCGTTTCTGGAGATGGCTTTGACGGCACTCTCCAGAAGCTTTCTCCTCCTGACACAAATGGTGGATACCAGGCCGTGAGAAAGGTGATCCTCTTGAAAAGTCCTCAAAATGATGGCAAGATCCACATCTTCCTAAAATACATCAAACGTATAAAGTACATCAGAAATGACTGGCAAAAAAGGTTGGTCTGGTCTTTGAATGTCCTTTTTAAATAGTGGCAATATCTCATTCTTTTATTATAGTGTATGTGTAATGTATTGTGTCCTTAAAAATTACATATAAACAGAAACTATTCTCCCAGTTGAATGCAGTGTAAAAAAAATGAACTTACCGACGGAGGACTGTCACTTTCAAATGGAACTGCAATAATGTCGTCCTCCTCCGCTTCCTCAGGGTCCGCAATAACAAGGTCATTGACAGGAGTCCTAAAAGATCAGATTTGTTTTGTCAGCGTCAGTTTTACATAGTCAGGCCTTAAAAAATACATTTTTCACTTTTTGTGTCTTTGCAGACTACTGGTCTTGGTAATCTACATGCGTATTCTGGTATTCTCTGTCAAATTTAAAGATGAGTATTGAGACTGTGAATGCAGTGTCACACACGGTTCCTGTTTGTAAACCTATGACAGACCTGTTGAGTGGTTCCATACGGGCCCTTCTGTAAAAGACCTAGAAGGTACAAATTTTGCATGAAATGAAAATGTCTCAAAATATCAATATTTGCAAAACATCCTAAATGCGACTTATCACAGAACTAAGACTTACCTCTGGGGTGCCAGCGTTCACCCACTGTGCAGGATCCAAACTTGCCTCCTGTTGGTTGACAAGAATGACCATTTACATATTTCACTGAGGTTAGCTTTGAAAACTAAAAGGATGACTTTTTAACTAGGATTACTCTTTACTTTGGTGTGAATTATCAAAAGTACATACAAATGTATTATTGCTTTACAATAACTTACGAGTGATGGGTTCATGTCTGTCCTCGGTGATCCCGCATCACTGTCCATCGTCGAAGACAGGGACATGACGCTAAGGGGAGGGGACTGGGAACTTGCACTAGATGTGACCGGTGGCATGCCGATGGGTGCTGTAGGAGCAGGCGGTGTGACCTGGGGGACAGCGGGTGAGGCCGGAGGTCTGATGGCTGATGGTGCGGGGGACAGGGCTGGACCTACATGAATTGCTGGGGGGGCAGCAGGTGAGACTGCAGATCTGATGGTTGATGGTGAAGTAGTGGGTGTGGCCATTGGTGGTGTGGATGATGAAGAAGCAGGTAGAGACTCAGGTCCATCAGGTGGAGATGTTTCTGGCAGGGTACGAGTTCTTTCAGGTCCTGGGATCTTGACGGACAAAACAAAAAGCCTGTTTAGTAACTATCATCAGTGTGCTAACATTAAAAGGAGTGCTGGCGAGAAAATACAACAACAACTCACCTGTGGCAGTGTAATATTGGTCTGGGGAATAATATACACCCTGCTTCTGCCAACTGCTGTCCTCACCTCCTCCAGTGTATTTGCCTGAATTTTACTCAGAACCCTGGACTTGTCAGCTCTGGCGAGATGAAATCCAATTACATTCAGGCTAACTGTGGGAAAGCTTTGGCAAATGTAATTATTAAACTCTGGGAGAGTCCAGGAAAGTTGTGCATAACATCTTTGTGAGCCTTCCCCTGGCAAATCATGACTCGGGATCCCTGTCAAATTCAAAAAAAAAATAGTTGTCAATATTGACTCAATCATTTACTTCTTTTCACTAGTTAATGACCTCGATTCAAAGCATAAACATTGCTGTATTTGTTATGATTTGAGCACATGATGTCAATATGCGTGACATAATGTATATACAAGGACTAGCTCTTCATAAGCATTGGATTTTTAGGGTGTTTGCTTCACCAAATCAGTCAGGGCAAGTCCTGCTGAATATGCAAAAAGTCCTGCTGAAAGTGTAAAATAAACAGTATTACAATGAAATCACAAATCTTTAGTTTTGCTGCAAAAGTGCAGCACACTGATTGTCATATCCAGCACTTGCAAATCCACAATAATGTAAATAGGTGTGCATTTTCTGTGTAAATAAAGACACAAATACAATTCAAGTGCATGTTGGCATTCAGAACCTATGCATATTGTACATTACCTAAGCCCACTCTGGTTAGTTTTCTGCATTCATTATGAGGCGGAAGGACAATTTGGTCAGCATTTGGCAGCAGGAAGAGCTTCACTTTCCAAACTCCACTTGGCCTATTTAAAGGTGCTTGTGCTTCTGTACAAAAACAGAAAGTATTACACATTATCGTTAGTTATACAACTGTGGTAGAACATGTAGTCGCTGTAATCAAAGTGAAAAGTGAATTTTGCATAATAACATGTTGTTTAAATTCCTCTAATGGAAATAGCCTCGTCCCGTCTGCTCTCCCTCCCTAAACTAACCCGGATTCTGCTGTGGACCTGCTCTCAGGTCAGACTCCCTCCCTCTGGACTCTCAGCTCCGGGTCCTCCTGTTCTGACCAGCAGCCACTGACCCGGTTCGGCACGCAGGAATTATTTCACTCTGCCTCAATATCCGATCCCTCTCTTAGTCATGGGTCTGCTAACCTATTATTAGGTAATAATAACCTGCTGTTTTAATCTGCCTATGCTATGAGAAGAAAAGCAAAGGAGCTCTCTGGTTCTCTGTCTCTCACTCGCAGCCAGACTTTGTCAACGAAACGTCAACAATCCGCTGTTTATTCTAACTTAACGAAGCTCACGTTCTTACAGTCACTAGATCAATACACTTAACCTCTCACATTTTGTTGCTAACTTAACTTACTTTCTGTAACTGCCAGCCGCCGACCAGCTGATGGAACAGTAACGTTAGCTTATGCTTAATAAATATAGCTACCGTTCCAACATTAAGTGGAAAATGTCACACATTAAGAACTTGGAAGCCACTTGTGAGTTAGCGGTGACAGTAAAAAGGACAATGCAGACATTGACTTTAAACTTGTAACGTTAATGCTAACTACCTGCCATCGGACCCGCTCTTCTTCGCCTCCTAAATGTGCTCCTTGTGGCTCTCAGCAGGTTGTCTTCGTCCCTCTGCGACGCCAGTTCCCGTCTGGCAACATCAAGCGCATTCCAAACGCGATGAACAACATTATTAAAACCGCTTTCTTGTGATGTCTCGCTCATGATCCCAGCGTCTCTGGACGTTACGCAGATGTCTGCTGCCACCTACTGGTTAGATTTGACCATGTGAAAAGCGCGCAGAAGCCTCTTCGGCTGCAGGATCAGAGACGATGTGCAAAAACAACATTTCTTGCAGCTTGATTGTGGAGAATGAAATTAAAGTTTGACTTTATTTAAGCTTTTGACAATGTGTCGTGCCATTTGATGATGTTGTCAACAGCAGACATACATAAATATTTACATCAATGTGTCAAAGCATTTGCAATTTCTCCAAAATAACGGGAAATTGCTTTAATGATGTGCACAAATGACGAGATGATGATGGCGATGTGGAGGCTGAACAAGTTGTTTTCGACAATTTCAATTCAGATCTGAGAAACGTACAAAACCAACTGAGAAAATCTGTAAACTCAACTTACAATTCAGAGCTGGTCCTTTAAGACTCTCCAGCACGCAGTTTGAATATTGGCCAATAAAATCCTTCTTCCGCCTGCTTCATTTGCATGCGGTCTACTAGTACTACTAGTAGGCGCAAAAACGTCTACTAGTAATACTAGTAGACACATTTTGACCTTACTAGTACTACTAGTAGGCGCTAAAATGTCTACTAGTAGTACTAGTAGACATTTTGGCGCTTACTAGTAGTACTAGTAAGGCAAAAATGTGCTTACTAGTAGTACTAGTGGCCATTTTTGCGCTTACTAGTAGTACTAGTGACCATTTTAGCGCTTACTAGTAGTACTAGTAGGCCATTTTGGCTTACTAGTAAGGCAAAATGGCTTACTAGTAAAAGCCAAAAACCGCGCACTAGTAGGATATCGAATAAATGCTCAAACGGCTTTCCATAAAAGCCATTTTGGCGCCTACTAGTACTACTAGTAACGTCAAAATGTGTCTACTAGTACTACTAGTGGCCATTTTTGCGCTTACTAGTACTACTAGTAGACATTTTAGCGCCTACTAGTACTACTAGTAAGGTCAAAATGTGTCTACTAGTAGTACTAGTAGACGTTTTGGCTCTTACTAGTACTACTAGTAGACATTTTTGCGCCTACTAGTAGTACTAGTAAGGTCAAAAAACGTCTACTAGTAGTACTAGTAAAGATTTTTACACTATATTTAAAGGCAAAATGAATGAAAATGTGCTTACTAGTATTACTAGTAGACATTTTAGGTCTTACTAGTACTACTAGTAAGCGCCAAAATGTCTACTAGTAGCACTAGTAAGGCAAAAATTTGCTTACTAGTAGTACTAGTGGACATTTTTGCGCTTACTAGTACTACTAGTAGACATTTTAGCGCCTACTAGTACTACTAGTAAGGTCGAAATGTGCTTACTAGTAGTACTAGTGGCCATTTTTGCGCCTACTAGTAGTACTAGTGACCATTTTAGCGCTTACTAGTAGTACTAGTTGGCCATTTTGGCTTACTAGTAAGGCAAAATGGCTTACTAGTAAGAGCCAAAAACCGCGCACTAGTAGGATATCGAATAAATGCTCAAACGGCTTTCCATATCTGTCTGTCTCTCTCCCGCAGGTGTGTACGCGTGCCTGTTGAGTGATGCTGGGTGGAGCTCACAGCTGGGGTCGATCAAGGCCAATTAGTGGGATATGTAAGACGAGCCAGTTGGGTGTTCGTGGTGGTGGTCGCCTCACTCGTCATCGGCTCATTCAAGCCCTCATCTGTCGGTGGTTATTCACATTAGTCTGGGTAACGTACGGTGCGACTTACTGTGTGGTTTACGGTGTGTTTTACTGTGTGGCTTGAAGGACGTGACTGGCGGTGTGCCACTTGCAACTTCTCCGCTCTCAGTAGGGCCAGAGGCTCCGTGGAGGCAGCTGTCGGCTCGGCGTCCCCGGGTAGTGGAAGTGGTAGTGGGCGGGTTGCCCGTTAATTGGAAGGTCTGTGGTTCAATCCTGGCTCAGACATAGTGTAAAAACTTTGAGTGGTCGAAAAGATTAGAAAAGCGTTATACAAATACGGAGCATTTACATAGCAGAGCTCATTAGAACAGTTCTCCTGCATGTCTCTGGGATCAGATGGTCATGTTACTGTTCCACTAGTCATGGTGCCTGGTCTGAATGTGTTGGTATTTGTCTTTAATGATGTGTTTATGACATAACCAAAGTTGTGTGAGTGGCTGTTCAAATTGTGTGTTAACACAACACAGAGTGGAGACTCATCTGCTTAGTCTTCACACACAGCCCAGTGTTTCTATGACATGGGCTTATTACTGTGTATGATTATTCACAAATCACTGAAATATGTATTATACATTACATAGTTAGGTCAAAATATGTTTTAATTTATATTGATACATCAGCTTCCAGACCAACAGCAAAAATTGTCTGGTTTAGTAATAATAGTGGTAATAACTTAATACCCTGCTTCATCATACTGCTAAGTAACCCTCAGAGCTCATGATACTTTTCCCCATAGAAACATCAACACACAGTAAGCTAGATGTAAGCAAATTAACTTTGCTCCAAAGGTGGTCTTTTAAAAGTGATATTCATGGTGAATGTGGTGGTAAATGGATGTGTGTTTACAACAAATGCATAGTAGGCTGTGTGAACCAATAAGTTCCCTGACTTTTGACTTGTATGTACTAAATCCAGCAAAAGCAACCGGAAGGTAAAAGACAAACTTGACATTGAATGAAAAACTTGGGTCATTAAAGTGTACAAATGTAGCTTATTTACAAATGAAAAGGGTTGTTGTTTCCAGTCAACGAATTATGATGCTGAAAAATAATATCAGCAGGTATTCACAGCAGTATCTAAAGGTGTCACGGGTTGTGGTGGTGAGGCAGAGCAGGTTAGAGGACCCAAATGCAGGACACGTAGACTGGCAGTTACAGTTCAGTGATAATTTAATATAAACACAAGGTGAGCACACTTACAAGAGCGGCTGAGTTCAGGTAATCCAAGATAACACAGTACGCAGGTGACAGACATGAGACTAACGAGGCAGGCAGAGAGATACCAGGGAAGACAGCGAGAGGCAGGCAGGCAGAGACAGCAAAGGGGAACAAAGAGGCAGGCAGACAGAGTGATAACTGGGGGAAACAGACGGAACACTTGACAGGCAGACATGGGGCCAAGTAACCCACACAGACAGAACACAGACCAGAATAAAACACTAAGACACAAAACTAGGAGCTAAGACACGGCTGAGATGCAGGAGCTAAGATACAGGGAACAATCAAACACATGACAGACCGGTACAAAGAGAGCTGAACAGAACCAGTTAATGAACAAGGGAATACACAAAGCTAAATAGAGAACACAAGACCAGGAGTAAACACTAAAGACATGAACTAAAGTACAGGACTATGAACAAAGACATGGAACCAAAATCAAAACACCGAGAAGGCATGGCCAAAATAATATAACACAGACAAGCTCAGGACAGGATTGTGACAAAAGGTGACTTTACCCTTTGGGACACTTTTATAAGCTGACAACTGTGTTAAACAATCACGTTCACAATTTATTTATAGAAAAATGTCATGATGTTTATCATGCAAATCCCCTTTGCTGAAAATCTATTGAGCTTTCCTGACAAACTCCATCATCCCCACAGCTGAAGGACTGCTATGATATCTGTACAAAGACTGGATATGTCAGTGTAAATTACAGCTATGCAGTCATTAAAAAGACGTAAATAAAAATATATTTGGGGGATTGTCACAGTAAATAATGTGATTCTGGTCTGTTATTTCCTCATTGCAGTGAGTGGAGGAGAGTGCACTAATTAAACTTAATCGCTTTATGCTGGGTACACACCAAAAGATAATCGGGCTGATTTTGGGCCGATTTTTCCCCCCTTCCAACAATCCTAGCTATGTCCTGATTATCTTGATGGTTCTACAGATTATATTATCAGATTCTCCCTTGGTGTGAGGTGTGTTAAGAGTGTCCGAACCTGATCGGAAGAACGTCGGAAGCGCCCCGATCAGAAATCCTGATGTGTGGGGGGATCCCCGAGGACAAACGGGCACACGTTCTGGAGATTATCACGTGAAACGAAACAATATCCAATCAGAAAGCGAGATGATTGAAGACGGAAGCATAAGAAACACAGTCATGGCGCAGCACAAGGTGAAATTAATGTGGACAGCAGAGATGGAGGATCAGCTTGTAGATTTGTGGCAACAGCACAAATGTTTGTTCAACGTCGCAATGTGTGTTTATGTGTGGTGTGCTGTCACATCATGGCATCAATAGGAGCAAAACGGTTAAATCTAGGAATTTTTTCTCCTCATGTTTGTGGTCTATCACATTTTTAAAATCTTATAAGATGTAAAAAATCCTTTGGTGTGTACCCAGCATTAGTTTGAGAGTCATTAGATGATTTCCCTTACAGAAAAACCACATGATTTGCCCATGTTTTCCACATGTGATCACATATGTGGTCATTTTCACATGTGGTAACATGTGGAAAATGTTTCCACATGTTGTAATATATGATAACATGTGAAGCACATGTAGAAAACATGGTACCACAGGATATACCATGTCAAACACATGTGGAAAATGGTTCCACACGTAATATGGAATACCATGTGGAGCACATGTGGAAAACATGTTACCACAACATGTAACAAATACTGGCACATTTTCAAAGTTTCAGGATTACAATTTCAACAAGTGAACTAATTTGAGGGTATGACAATCTTTGATAAATGATAAATACATATGGAATCTGTTTAAAGGCAATACATACGCACACTGCAAAGGTGGGTATAGGCTTTTTCCATTAACTTTTTATTGATTGGGTATAGGTTTTTAAAAGTCTCTTATTTTGAGAGAATGTGCTAGTGAAGCCGGACTAGCAAAGTATGAAGAAATGACACCAGATGCAGAGTCTTTAAAGCAATGCAGTGTGTATTGAAAAATAATTACTCACAGGATTGCAACGTTACATATTATGGTACAAACTAATATTAGCTCAAGAAACAATCCTCTATTACACAATTCCATAACAAGTTCAGTAGACTCTCATAATGGCATATGTGCCATTACAGTGATCAAATAGCATAATAAAACAATTAAAAGTAAACATTGATCAATATGTGGGAATAAAGATGATGAAAATGGGCACCAGGAGGAGCCACCCATATATAGGAAACATGTTAAATCAAATTCTTCATTTAAACAAGATGGGTACATGGTCCTGAAGCAGTGGATCTGAAAATAATAATTACCAAATTGCATGGCTCAACTTGGACATCACTCAACAACATGTGCACAAAGGTTCATAAAAGCTTGCCTTTAATAAAAATTAAAAATAATTTAAAATAGCATTACAATATCCATTGAAATTCATGTTGGTTGGATTCTGCATTTTCCAAAGAAGCTAGGAAGACAAGAATTTTCAGTCTATGGCACACGCTTCAGAAACACAATGAAATTTCACAACACCACACTGTTTGACTCACTAATAATGAATGTGTTACATATGTCTTGTGTCATGTAGGGCATGGTAACCTGCTCTGTAATCTGAGTAACCTCTCAGACTTTAATCTCGCTCTAAATTGTTTGGCATTAAGGAAATTAAACAACCATTATCTTTTCTATATACTACACATTTTTTGGACAGTTGGCAGACGTCTAGAGCAATCAAATCACTAAATTCAAATGGTATTGACATCACATGCTTAATCTGGCACCTAGATTCACCATAGTAGCCTTAAAGAAACAATCTAGGTTTTGTCACACACTTTCTGGCTAGACATAATGCATGTTCACAGCCAGCGTGACTCCTAACATTGGCAAAAGACACTATCTGGCAAACACTGCCATCAGATATCCTAACCAGAGTGTTATCCCTCTTAAGTTTTCTTCTGTATTTAATGCTTAGAAATATTTGTGAGTTAACTACTGCTTTGCGGTAAAACATAGCTTGATCTTTGACAGGGTATCCAATTTGTTGTTCAGTAGCCTCCCTTTCATATAGATTGAGAGCTCTGAAGTAACCCCTTCCAAAAAGCACAGTGCCGTTCACTCTTCTTGCATTTTTAGTTGTATTATAGCCATCTAGCATTGTGTAAAACAGCTGCCTTACTTTAGGTGGAACATCTATCATCACCATATTGCCAGTTCTCTCTACTTGTTTTAGTAAGAGAAAAGATGTTACTATCTGTAAGGGTACAGATTGAGTGCCATTGTATAGTTTCAACAGAAAGCCATTACACCCTTCGAAACTGTTTGCGCTGTAACACCATAAGGGCCCCCAGTTTCTGACACTGTCACAAAGATGAAGTAGAATATGAACATTGCATGTCATGTGGGATCTACCATACAAGGTCTCAAAATCACACACAAACTCATTCAGGTGTTGAGATGCAAAGAAAAGCTCCAGCTGTGTAATTGATGTTGTTTACAAGACATACACTGCTTGGCACAAAAGGAGGAAGTGCCTAAGAAATCTACCTGGAAGAATGGATTTCAAAAAATTGGAGCATAAAATAAGAGAAAAGCGCGCCATTCTGAGGCTTTCCAGTAGGCTCTGGTTAAGATAGATATAGGCAATCTATCTCATTGATTCTGGTTCCTATATACCAAAGCTCTCTATGGTAAGAACTATCAAACCACAAGGTAGACAGTTGTCTCATCACCCCTAAATCAATGCAATGCATGGAGTCAATAATAAATCCAGTGACAACATCAAAAAAAGGCAGTGACATCAAAGGTGTGGGCCCCTTCACCTCAAAGTTTTGACCAACCACTCCATTTTGTCCCCATTCAATCATATCTGTGTGGCAGTGTTCTGCTACTTCTTCCTGATAAGGGTATACTTGAGCATATCTCTTACCTTTCTCGACTCTATCCCCTGGATGTAGACACCAGTTGCAGCCAAATTTGCCATTGAATTGCTTGACATTTTGTAATGCAGCCCGTGCTACACTATCACATGAACAAATTATAGCATATACATAAGATTTAATAATCTTACCCTTTAAACACCACTCAAAACCTGCTGAACCAAGAGTTTTCATTTCACTGATAAATTTTTAAAAAAACATGGAAATGGATGTTTGTTTTTTACACCAAACCAAAGTCCTGCTAAAAACATGTTCTTTTTCCTTATATTAGGTGGGAGCTCATTTATGTAACATAGCAAGGGCCAAATAGAAAAAGAGGAGGATTTGAAGATAGGTACACCATCAGAGTTAAAGTGAAGCTAAAAGAGTAATCTTTCTTTAAATTGGAGTATTTGCATATCTGTTCATACAGTTTGCCATCCATAATGTCTGAAATTGCGTCCGGGTTTGTTGGCCTAGTCTTTCTGTAGTTCAACGACTCTCCAAGATTTAAAGTCTCTAGGACATGTTTTAGTTAAGCCAATAACTATAAGAGTTTTAGCCAATAAGAGGCAAGGTAAAAAAAAAAAGTTTCCATTTTTTTATTAGTTCATTTTTGTCAAACACCTGATGGCAGGTCTTACATTTATTATTATCCAAAAGACAAAAGCAGTTGGGGCAATATCTATGAAAAACATATTTCCCAGTTTTGAATAGTTTTTTGAAGAGATTTTGTGGCTGGCAAGTGGCAATCTGGTGGTAGAACAAGAATTAAAATCTGAAGAAGTTTTTGCAGACCATCTTGTGTCAATCCCACGGTTCCAGCAAAGGCCATCAGAAGTAGAATGGTTTGCCCAAGAGTAACAGATGCTCCTCTGTATAGTGGGGACCTCATCATGTCATCATTAACCTGTAAAAAAATAACAGAATCTATATTAGTTATAACTTATGTGTGGTTGAAAAGTGGAAGATGTGATTGAACCATTTGGCCTTGTGGCAGCAGAGGCAGGCGCAGCACCATCCCCACTCTCTGTCAGAGGCTATATCAAAGTCCTTATAGGCAAGTCCCGCTCGGCAGCCATCTTGATAACGCTTCCGTGCAGTTATTTCGGACTAACAAGATCAGGCCTTTCTCTAAATAAATAGGTAGAAAGCTAGAACTGCACTTTCACCGGTCATGGGGACATAAAAACTGTATGTATAGAAGTAAAATCTGATAAGAAAATGCTGAAAAAGTCTTTGCCCCAAAGTAAGGTTTAAAAAGTGTTTTTCCCCCACAGGTTATACTTTTTCCACACATGCTTGGTAGTAGTGACGCATGCGTGGTAGTACACCCTTACGTTAGTGGAACCCTATAGAGATGTATTGAGTAGTGGCGTGTCTTCTCTTAAAACATCTCTGGCTATTTGAAATGTTGTGATATCATAAATTAATCTTCTTTATATTGGCAGAAGAATCCAGGCTCTGTATTCCAGCTGTGAAGTGTCAGGTAATTGCCGTAAAATATTATTATTTATAAGAAATTGCAAAATTAATGGAGCATGACCTCAAGTGTTTAATTAACATTTAATTACATTAATGACCAACTCTTGGCCAAAATATTTTTTATCAACATGTTTTCTTTAACATAGCATGGCAGTTTATGTATGCATTATCAGAAAAAAGGCATTTATTCCCAATTAAAATTGGCACTGAGAATCCCATTCCCAGTTAACTATGGTACAATGACAAAATGTTTGATTGCTCTATTTAAATTGCTAGCTAACTAAATTTGACATCTACTACAAAGACAATCCAACTGCATATAGTGTGAACCACAACAGCTTTTGTCCATATATTTTACAGGAATAGTGATCGAACTAATCATCGAAGTAATCAGACGGATGAACATCAAAAATTACCCTACCATGTGTTCAGAATCAGAAGTTGGCCCATTATCATCTTCATCATCACCACCATCATCATCATCATCTGTATGGCCGTCGAGGGGGTGCTACAGAGAAAAGAGAAACTAATAGCTATTATTAGTTAACAGAAATGCTAAATTAAAGTTGTTGTGTTAACAGTTTATATCCTTCTTAGCACCATGGTTTCTGCAGGTTTCACCTAGTCAAATATAAGACTTTTAAAGACCTTTTTAAAACCACTTACAGTGAAATTTAAGACCTATATCTCGACATAAAAAAAATAAATGTACAAAGGAAATGCAGTCACAAAATTCCTTGCAGAGTAATAAATGTATTCAAATTAGGGTTGGGTGATGTCTACAAGAATGGCATTGGATGATGTCAACAATGAAACACCGGGATGGACGATGACATTGATAAGCTACGTAATTAACAAGCTTGCAGTGAAAAAGCCAGCTTGTTCAAATGCTGCCGTGAAAAAGGATCACAAGTGGAAATATCCAGAAAAATGACATGTTCTGTGAGTGAGTGCAGGAAGAAGAGAATTCGAGGCAGGTGTGTTCCAATAAAGAAATATGCAATTCCACATAATTTTGGAACACTGTTATTACCACATCAGTGAATAAGTAGGAAAATCTAGAGCAGATTTTGAATGAACTCCATCCCAAAGCTGAACTTGCTACTGGGTTTGAATTATAACCATTAGATCTGGAAGAATTCATGTGGTTAGTTTTGATGCTCTCCACAATGATTTTAAATTTATGGCACAGCACCGAGCAGTTTTAAGCCTCACCACCTTAATGGCAGGAAAACCTGTTAATATGACCTCAGAAATATTACAGACTGTTCATATTTGCCTTTTGTGTCTTAATTTGCTACTTTATACATTTGTCTAAATTAACCTAAAAAACAGGCAACATGAGAACCATCTCCCTTCTGTATAATTACAAGCATTTCATTTGTACATCAAAATCCAAAAGAATAATCTCCTCATTACCTTAAAAGGACTAGTTTGCATCCCTAATATGCTTTAATGTTACTAACCTGAGCTCCTCTGTGGTCAACACTGTCCTTTCTTTATAATTTAACTATGAATAGGGTGCGAACTACACGGGAGCCAGGGGGAGCTTAGCTCCTCTTAATAAGACATCAGCTCCCCTAAAAGCATGATTTGTAATATTTTAGGGGGATCTCTAAAATATTGACAGCATACTATATTGACAATAATCTCTATATCTCTGTCATCAAGGATGCGGAGCGTCAGACTTCATCCAGCCAGAGGGAACGATCACTGACCGTCCGCAGCGGGCCAGTCGCTCCGCGATATCATGTCCCTGGCCATGTACGCTCCACCGCCCCAATCCCTCTCCAGTATGGGTTGTGTGTGTCGCTAGTACGATGAACGGTTCCCTCTGGCTGGATGAATATTAGCCTACACATGATCCATGCACTACTGCAGCCGGGGGCTCTCCGCAGCGTCATGCAACTTTCTAAATTCTTTCCTCTCACGGAGAAAAGAAAGGTCAGCCGTAGCTGTTGATAATAATAGGCTAACAATAATAATTATTATTATTATAAGAAAAACATACCAGATACTTTTCACAGTCAGCCCCAGGCCTACATGCTTGCAGCTATTAATAATTCAGCAGTCTCTCATCGCCTCATGCGTTCAGTGTTACTGTAGCTTTACTGAAAATCATTAAAGCTGATGATACACAGAGCAACTTTTAGAGCAAACATAGAGGGACTTGCCACAAGCGAGATTGCCCAGCAACATTGCTGAAGTTCCCCCGTGTATCATCAGCTCAATGATCCTGTGAAATTTCATTAAACAGCGACAGTAGGCTTCAAATATGTTGCTAGCAACTGGTCTGAACCAAGCTCTGTTTTTTCTTACCCACAGCTGAAGAATAAATCTGTTTTATATCTGTGGTACAATTCGAAAGAGACTCGCGCAAATAACATCAGCATGTTGGTCTTTGTAGTCATAATACAGCGAATTATATTTGGACTAGCGAAAGAAAGAACTACAACACCACAGGAGGTAAAAACATTCTTGAGTGCTGCGGGAGCATTTCAGTTAGCACTAGAGGTAGCGCTACATGGACGTTGGAAAATTAAGACCTGTTTATAATTATTTAAGACCTAGAACACAAACAACGTCTTTCTAAGGCCTTAAATTTTGATGTCGAAATTTAAGATTTTTTAAAGATTTTTAATACCCGGCGGCAACCCTGTAGCACAAATACTACTCATGTTTTCTACCCTTGGTTCAGAGAGGTCCCCGTGAACATGTTTGATTACTCAGCAATTAAATTGGTATACAGGGCTTTTGATGTCCAACGCACCATGCAAACTCACCTCAAAGTCAGAGTCCAAGCTTGCGTCCGTGCCATCACTGTATCTGTCCGTGTGGTCATCAAGGGACTGCTGTATAAGAGGACAGACAATGGTTAGATAATAGTTCACAGTCGAGCATAATCTTTATAATTACAATAGACATGAAATAGACAGTGAACCTACTCTTTCAGGTTCATTGTTTGACTTCCCCTCTTCTCCATCACTGTCCACTACAGCGTGTCCACTGGGTTGCTGGGAAAAAAACAACAAAACATTTTAAATCAGGATTTGGCTTCATAAGCACACCTCAGGTCTCATGTTAGAAGATAAAGAGATGTTTAGGGGGACCTCGTTGAGCCACAGAAGAAGACAGGAGGTGTTGACTATTACATTTACATTTACTCATTTGGCTTTTATCCAAAGCGACTTACATTTGAGGAACAACATACATCAGAGCATCAACTACAGATCTACAACTGACAATACATACTAGTAAGAGCTCACAGTACATATCACATCAATGGGGTAGATACCTAGGGAAGGAAGTAAGAGTTAACAAAAAGTGCAATCAATACAAGATCATTATAGTGGATAGAAGAAGAAGAGCACAGGAAATGCATGTTAGAGGTTAGGAGTTAGAGGTGTTATAAGAGGAAGTGTTCTCGGAAGAGATGAGTTTAAGAGCTTCTTGAAGTTAGAGAGGGACGTCCCTGCTCTGATGGCGTGTGGTAGCTCGTTCCACCATCGTGGTGTCACAGATGAGAATAGCCGGGACTGGGATTGCTTTGTGTGAAGGGATGGCAAAGCTAGGCGTTGTTCGTTGGAGGAGCGTAGCGGCCGAGAAGGAACGTAAGTTTGTATTATGGAGTTTAGGTAAATGGGTGCAGACCCAGTAGTCACTCTGTATGCAAGCATTAGTGACTTGAATTTGATTCTGGAGGCCACGGCGAGCCAGTGGAGGTCACTGAGTAATGGAGTGACATGAGTCCTTTTGGGCTGATCAAAAACCAGACGCGCTGCTGCGTTCTGAACCATTTGTAAGGGTTTCATCAAAACAAGCTGAAGCTGGGTGGCGTACAGAGTGAGGTAGGGCCTGATTTTTCCTTATGTTGTATAGAGCAAAGCGGCATGAGCGAGAGACAGCAGCAACATTGTCTGAAAAAGACAGCTGGTCATCAATTATGACACCCAAGTTTCTCACCACCTTGGTTGGAGTGATGGTTGCGGAGTCAATTTGTAGTTTGATGTTATGGTGGATAGATTGCTTGGCTGGAATGACCAAGAGTTCAGTCTTAGAGAGGTTTAGTTGAAGGTGGCAAGCCTTCATCCATGCAGATATGTCCGATAGACAGTCCGTGATCCGCGCAGAGACAGTGGGATCGCCTGGCGGGAAGGATAGGTAGAGTTGCGTGTCGTCTACATAGCAATGGTAAGAGAAGCCGTGCGAGCGAATGATTGGCCCCAGTGAGGTGGTGTAAATTGAGAAGAGAAGGGGCCCAAGCACTGAGCCTTGGGGCACCCCTGTGGAGAGGCAGTGGGAGGAGGATAATTGTCCTTGCCACAAAAAATTGTAGGAGCGCCTCGAGAGGTAGGCTGAGAACCCGTGTTAGATCAAAGGACTGAATCAGAGCCAGGAAATCTGCTGAGTTGAATTGTCTAAGTGAATGTTCATGTCACCGAGGACAAGTAGGGGACAGTCATGCTCTGGGATTGAAGACAGCAGTGTGTCTAGCTCCTCCACAAAGTTACCCATTTGTCCTGGTGGACAGTATATGACAATCACAGAGACCTTTACCGGAGCGGACACAAAGACAGCATGGTATTCGAAGGAGGCATATTGATTCGGGGGTAGCAGCTGTGTGAATTTCCAATTACTCATTCCCCTCCCAGAGGGGGGGGGAAGAGTAATTGGTGGACAGCACAGCGGGGGTAGCAGAGTTTTCTGTTATGATCCAGGTCTCAGTGAGCGCCAGTAGCCCAAGAGATAATGTGTTAGCATAAGCAGTGATGAAGTCAGCTTTGTTGACTGCCGACTGGCAGTTCCGTGACCCAACATACAAGTAAACAGATGTGGGTGCTACCTGTTTTAAAGGCTTGAGGAGTGCCTGGTTTCTGTGCCTGATGGCACGATACCTCTTGCGTGGACCGGAAACAATAGGAATAGTGTTGTAGCACATGGCCTGAGTGTATTTGTAGCTGGCAGCTTTAGGTGAGTAGGTGCGCCTCGGGAAGGGAAATGCTTCCCTTGTAGGCGGCTTTGCTCAGTGGACTGGCTGGTCTTTACCCAAGTAGGTCTTCACACAAGGAGCCGACACTAATGCTGACGCTTCAGTGGTAGGTTTCACTGAAGTAGTGTGAGTCTAATTGCACACAGGTGTTGGGCATTAAGAATGATTGCACCCAGCTAAGATCGCCCTCCGGATTAACAAGACAAAAGCTGGGTTTCAGTGGGTGGGACACACACCCAACTGTTTGATCTCGCTCAGCCGGCCTTCAGATTCTAGTGGGTTGCTCAGTAAAAGTGCAAAGAAATAGCACCTCAAGAGTAGGAAAGATAGAGTAAAGTATTACCTCTCTGCTGCAAACTCTTATTTGCCCCACGATTCTTGTCCTGTGTTTAAGAGTACAACAGGAGTACAAGTACTCTGTTAAATGCTAATAAGACAAATACTGACCACAATTTTTGAGCTGTTAAGCCTTTTAAAATGCAAACTCACCTCAAAGTCCAAATTTGAGTCCGTGCCATCACAGTCAACTTGTAAATTCAAAAAAAGCCACACACAAATACAAACACTTTTAAATACACATATTTCACTGATGTTACACACCAATGCAACTTGCTGCTAAGAGAAGTACATTTTTGTCTGGCATAGTAGGGAGAAAGTTAGCTAGATTTAAACTGGGTATGTTTAGCTATAATGGTCTACTTTCTAACACTACCATTACTTAAAAAAACTACCATTTCTTTCCAATCGATATTTTGTTGTCCTGGGTATGGGCTCTTTTTCATCCTGCAAATATCTTCTGTACATGATCTTCCTTTTCATACAAGAAGGCTCCATTTTAGGCCTAACCTTACTAACTCTATCCTTTCCTTGAGACTGCGGGCGCCAAACGGAACCTCAAAGTGATGCAGGTGGATATATCTTATCAGATTTGAAAATCTGACTGGCTCTGATTGGCTCTGATTCGCGGTCCTTTCCGTTGCTAAGTAACCAAAACATTAGACCAGGGCCATTGGCGTTAGCGTTAGAACAGAAATATATTAGCACAGATACAAGAAGCCAACCAAAATGTATGTGCTTATTAAATGGGTAAAAGAAAACCAAGTGAGTGTGGGCTTGGACAAATATGTTAAGGATAAAAAAATGTTTAAAGACCCCAAGAGGATTGGCCTGGTGGAACATGGGGTGCTTTGAGTAAAGCCACCTAAATCTAGCTGGAAAGCTTTTCCGGCTCAAATACTCAGTGTGAAAGGTAAGTGAATCAATTATGAATATTGTTGTGGGGACAGCCCAGCTGATGGTTTTACTTTTTTTTCTCACTTTATTTCACCCTTTGTTTTGCTCTGCCTGCCTCCCTGTGTTCTCCTCCTCTCTCCCTCAGCTCCTGAGCCCAGCCAACTACCTACACCTGCACCTCATCAGCCACCTCGTCAGCCTACCACACCTGCCAGTAATCAACCTCATCCCAGCCTGTATTTCAACCCCGGTTCTCCACACCATCCTCGCTTGATCGTCGTTGCTCCTTACCCGGTGCCACCTCTACGTCCAGGCTCTCATGATCCTTGTTTTTTTCTCATTTTCCCTGCATTCTGTCGCTCCAGTCACTAACCCTGTCTTTCTGTCTGTTTTCCCTCCCAGGTTCACTCACCCTCGTCGTCCGTTCAGTCGGCTGGGCTCATCCTCCGGTCCTCACCTCTCGGGCTTCCTCCACGGCGCCCTCCCGGCTCCTCCCTGCTCCTCGCCTCACCACCCGTGCCTCGCCTGCTCCTCGGTCCTCCGTGCCCGCTCCACCTCTCCTCCCTCACCTCTTCCCTAGCCCCCTCCGTGAACCCTCAATAAAACCTCCTTCCCTCTGAGTGTTGCGTTTGGGTCCTTTCTGTCCCGTCTCCTAACAGAATATTATGTAATGTTAAGTTAACAATAGCAGAATATTGATGATAAATAGCACACCTAGCTTAAGTCAATCAACTTAACCTTATATTAACGTAACTTTAATGTTAGTGATCTGTAGGGAACTTGTCAGTGTTGCATGTATTATTTTGGGTAATGTTAACAAACTTAGCTAACTTTAGCAAGATTGCCTATAAAGTTAGCTTAAAGTTAGCGCTAACGTTAAGTGCATAATTACGTTACAACACGAGTAGGACCATAGCTTGCACTATTATATTACTAAAAGCTAACATTATGTTTTACTGTTAACTTAATGTTACAGTTCAGTTAACATGTTTTCTGATTCATTGTTTTGGCTAACGCCTCCTCACAGCTTTCAACAGAATCCAAAATACATTAAAAAATCTGAAAATTGGGTTCTAAATTCAATAAAATACAGGGGGAACTGTTACACGAAACTAACTAACTACAAGTTAACCGGTAACGTTAACTTTATGGTGTTTAATAATTTTGGCATGTATAACCGTAGCCTAATCATACACACAGCTAAAATTTCAGTTTTAAGATTAATTTCTCAAATACACAAAATGGCAATACCTTACCTTGTATATCTTGTATAAATCCGAATTAGAATAACTTGCTGTTGTATTAGCTTTTTTGTCATTACCATTTCCAATGCAAATGGTCATAAGCCAGTGTAAATAATGCACTCTTGGATCAACCATTCTGATTTTACACGGTATGAATTAATTAGGCCCTTTGACCTGTAATGGAAATTTGTCCTTTAGTGAGTCTTCTGAAATAAAGATTCCAATCCAGACGTCTTTTAAGGGTTTTATTCTTTGCAAAGGGTCAGACAAACTTATAGAGTGCAAAACAGTCTTCAGAGTGTAAGACAAAGAGCCAGTGAAGAAGCAGGTGACTTTATACTGTAAGGGTATTACGCAGCTATCCAAGGGAGGAAGGGAGTAGGGACCAGCTGTCCTGAGATGAAGGCCTATCAAGGACAGTCTGATAAGAAAACTCTATAAGGAGCATCTTTCCCATGGAAAACTTCACCTAGCTGTAACATAATAAAATAATCAAATACCACACAGTGAAACACTGGTCTATTCTGATGAAGCATGCAGGGTGAAACAGTAAACACTGTAAAATATCAAATTTCCATCACATACTCCTCCCTTGTGATCATTCTTTGATCACTCAAGCATATACAACATCACAAAAAGATCATCAGGTCATAGAAAGTCATCATTATGTGATATACGCCAGTTTAATAGAGAAAACAAATCTGGGTCCTTCCTGTCATCACAGTGGCATGTTATTCTTGTTCATGGAGTGTGATCATTTGAATGGAGACACATTTATCAATAGCTCCTACAATCAGACCTCTGGCACATGGAATAATGCAACATCCACAGAGAGCTAGTTAGACCTGCTAATATGGGCATCACTAAGGCCTTTTATTTCGCAAACACAGAATCAGACCAGTCGAACATGTTAGTGTCCACTTCAGAGTTCTCTGCAAGTTCTTCTCGTAGGGAACGTAGTCCTTCCAGCACTCGGGTCACCGAACCATTTGGAGCTGTATTGTTGGGCACAAACATACAACAGGAGTTATTAAACATTAGCCAAGCATCCCAGCCTCTTTGGGTGCTTCTCTTGCCTCTAACACTGCTATTTGATGTCAATGCCTGTAGTTCACTGTGGTGTTCTGTTGTGGTGGTTTTTGTGCATCATGCTTGTGATCTAGGAACTGCAACAGAGGCACTGTTAATGATATTGCAATGGCAGCAAACATCTGTGTTGTTCCTCGTAAGCCACACATATTTGGGTGTCTGACTGGGTCCCATGACGTCTCCTTCCAGAGACAACCATGATACTTACTCTTAATTTTTTGCGGTGTCACTTAAATCAGCAGTGGTGAGACCAGGAGTTTTCTCACTAGCTCCCTTGTGTTGATGTTTGCTGTCTAACAGCCTGTGAGTCCGAGACAAAGGGTGCCTAAGCGTTCCCAATCCCTCCTTCACTCACAACACAAGGTCAGGGAAAACAGTGGTTCAGTTGCTGATTGTGCACGCTTGTTGATCTATTGTTGTACTGGTGCAGGCACCTTCCTGCAGTGGCTGGCGTGAATCCACGTAGCTCTTTCAGCCACTTTTACCGCTGTGTATGTTGTCAGGAGCACCTTTCTACCTCTGCGCCATCCAGTGCTTTCTTCTGAAGTCTTTAACCACCACAAAATCTAGGAGACTGTGCAGTGGTTCTGTCGCTGGAGAGGGTAGGGCCTCTTTAACCTACTGATGTAGACGGGCAAGAGCAGAGGACAAAGTCTGGCAATACTTTAACATTCAATCATTCTCACAGTGATGTGTGTCAAGGGGTACTCTGCTTGCTGCCTCTATCCCTGTTCATGGAGGGCGCCCAAAAAGAATCTCAAACGGGCTCAAACCTGACCTAGTTCTTACCCTCGTTCTCATGTACATCAACATCAACGGCAACGCCTTTGTCCATGGAAGGCCTGTGTCTTCACAACATTTAGCTAGCTTAGCTTTTACTGTTCCATTCTCTTTTTCTACTGCTCCACCACTCACTGGGTGGTAGGAACAATGTTGTCTCAAATCAATGCCCATATAAGAGTCAAGTTGTTTGATGGCTTCACTTACAAAAGGTGTGCCGTTGTCTCTGCTGATTTTAGAAGGCACGCCCCAGCGTGGCAAGATCTCAGAAATCAGGGCTTTTGCTACAGCTGCACTGTCTTGTTTTGAAGTTGGAAAAACCTCCATCCATTTGGAAAACATATCAACTATGACCAAACAGTACCTTTTGCCTTGACTCGGGTTAAGCTAAATAAAGTCCATCATCAGGTGATCAAATGGTTTATCTGGCGATGGGTGTGCCGCTAGGGAACCCTTAATCCTCTCCCTGTGTTGTGTGTTAGGCAGATTGAGCATGTTTGGCAAAAGTTGTGAGCGTATGTTGTGAAACCTTTCATAAACCAGTGTTGCTTTAGTTGATCGAACATCCCTCCCTTTGACACATGATCCAACCTATGTGTCAATTTAGCATAATGTGGAAAAAAATGTTTGGGTAAACATGGTTTGTCATTGGGACCAATCCACAATCCATCAGCATATTTACAACCAGCCTGTTGCCATGTGCGCTTCTCATCTGATGTAGCAAATTGTTGCATAGCATGCAATGTCAGAGGAATATCTGTCGTCTGTGTCTGTGTCTGTGTCTGCGTGCAGGGGTGTATGTGTGTGTGTCAGGCCCTGTTGAGCTGCGGTGCGGGCAGCTGCATCAGCTTTCGCATTAGTATGGGCCTGGCATTTGCATACAGAAATAGCAGACGGCAACATCACTGCATTTCTATGTTTCCACAATGCAGAGAAATCATGCACGGTTGCAAATGCATATTGAGAATCTCTGTAAATAGTTACTGATTTGTCTTTGGCCTATTTACAAGCTTCAGTGAGTGCAACCAACTCAGCTGCTTGAGCTGAATAATGAGATGGCAAGGGGCCAGATTTCAGTGTTTCGTGTTGAGTGACTACGGCCAAACCAACTTGATTTTTTCCTGTGTTAACATTGCGTGAAGCAGACCCGTCAACAAAGACAATCAGGTCTGGGTTAGTTAGAGGTGTTTCAGACAGATCTGTATGTGGAGTGCAAACCTGCTCAAGCACAGCAACACAGTTGCACAGTTATGATCTTCTCTGTCTCCTGGAATGGGGAGCAAAGTTGCAGGATTTAAAACATTACAGCATTTGACAGCGATGTTAGGCATATCCAATAGAACAGTGGTGTATCGGAGCCAACGTGCTGTGGAGAGATGAGAGGTCTTCTGTTCAAGCAAGATCATAGAAACCGCATGAGGGACCAAAGGGTTAAATCAGAATAACCAACAATGTCACGTGATGCCATGACAGCTTTCTCAGCTGCTGCCACAGCTCTAAGACAACGTGGTAACCCTGCAGCCACTGGATCAAGTTTTGCTGAAAAAAAAAGCGACTGGTCTCAGTCTGTCACCATGTTTCTGTAGTAATACTGATGTCTATCCATTTTGGAAACATGTCAACTATCATCAACAGCACTTATTGCCTTTGCTTGGGTTTAGCTAAAAACCTCCCTCGTCAGGTGGTCACATGGTTCTTCTGGGTGACACTCTGCTCTGTGTGTAAAACAACCTCTCTGAATGAGTTTCAACCTTGAGCTTCCAGGCTGTCTGATAACACACCTCACACACAGACTTGTTCTCATCACATTCCATAGTTTTGCATTCAGTTCCCCCTTTTCTCTGTGGAGGAGAGCGCATGGGCAAAACTCTGGACCATGTGTAAAAAAAAAGGAATTTAAACAATAACATCAAACAACAAGGAACGAGCAGGCAGCATTCTTTTCCTGTAGAAATGGGGTCAATCTGTTAGCGTGCATCACATTTTATCATCAACACGGCAGCAGCACACAAATCCAGCATAATAAACCAACAGACACAGCAAGCAACATGACAATAAGCATCAGGCATCTGGTTTGCTTCCAAGATGTAGTGTCAGTACAGGTCATGTGATCGTCCTTCGGTCAAGTCAAGTAAGAACTTAGGTCAGGTCTTTGTAGTCTCCGAGTACAGGTAGACTATAGAGAGCCATTTCAGTCAGTGAGGCTCTGTCAGCTCAGCTTCGTCAGTTCAAGTCAGTCAAGTGCACTTGTTAGTTTACCATGAATCATGGGAGAAAGGTTTCTCTCTCTGTTCATTCTTTGTCAGTAATGGGATCCCTTGTCCATAAAATCATCATC